TGATTATGTCAATCTCGAGTGTAGTGACAATTGTTGATGTTCTGATAAACATGATAGTTTTCTGACATGAAACTAATAGAAAATATTTATTTGTATTTAATATAATGCATGTCTGTATGTATTTATGTCTATAAAATTGATTTTCAAACTTGATCTGTGGTTTCAAACACTTCATGATACAAACCATTTTATTTATTTGTTAATGATCATGTGATTACAAAGAAGATCATAATATACACATATTCTGTTTGTCAGTTGAATTTGTCACATCAGACACTTGTAACACTTTGAATGTTAGAAATTACATTTGAGTCCCTAGTCATGTTATATCAAAGTTGTCTGTTCCTATAGTGTCTTTGGTTCAACCAGCAATTTATGAAAATATTTGAAGGGTTACAGATGTCTAATAATGTTTTTGACATGTCTGAATGGTTAGATGTCTAATATTACTGTTTATTTGTAGGAAATTGGATGAGGAGGAAGTACCATTGAATGACAAGAAAGAGGAAGAAAAGGGAGACCAAGGTAAGATTCTGCTATATACATAATGTTTACTAGTGTTCTCACCAGCCTCTATCCTGCCCATTTAATTATATGTTAAGAGTACATTACCCATGTGGGGATAGAAATGTTCAATGATTGTAGAAGTACAAGACATTTTACTCATCATGGTGGGTTTTTGGACAGTAACACAAGGTAGTTTATTCTCTATAGTGCAAACTGTGTTCTTAAATATACAATTTAATCTATTTAAGTAAACTAGTCTTACAGTATTTGCAAATACATGTACAATTTGTACAAAATGGTAAAGATGTCGTTAGAATTCTCAGTGGGATAGGAATTGCCATGTTTACCTCAATGTTCTCACAGTACTGGGCACTCCATAATGCATGCTTTTCAATAAGGCTGATGGCCCCATACATCTTGCCAATACAATGAACCAAATAAATTGTTGTTAAAAACACTATGTGAAGTGATATGTAATGTCGCGCAATATTATTTGAAGGAAAAATTTGGTAATTAAGCTGAGAATAAAATGAATGTAGTAGCAGGCATGTCAACTTACCGTTATAGGGAATTATCCTGTTGTGAATCCCAGAGCAAGCATGTCTACTGCTGTGACAGGAAATTAGCCTGTTGAGTTAGTCAGAAATAACCCTTCAAGTGTCAGTTTTGTCCATTTTTAGCTACGCTGTCGAGCGGAGCTTATCATATGAGCGATTGTCCATCGTCCGTATCAATGTTTTACTTTTTCGACTTCTGCTTGAAAACTACAAGCCTGAATGCTTTGATACTTCGTGTATATGTACCTTGGGTAGACCTCTCTCAGATTTGTTCATTTTCTGATATTGTCAGTTCTTTAATTGAAATGTGCATTGCTAACAGTGGAGCTATCTCAGCCTACAGGCTGCTTGTTAAAGCACTAAATACTATCTGAGCATAACTTAAATTTTAGTGAACTTGAAGAAGACGTAAAACTGCAGAGCAATTACAGTACATTTCCAATGTCAATGAACTGATTCAATTGATCATATTTGTAATTTTCAGGTGTTTCAGAATATGCCTTGGATGACGAAACAGGCGATAAGAAGAAACCGGAGGAAGAGAAACTTCTGAAGCCTGACGAAGATGAAAAGAAAGATGAAGAAAAAGGTAAATGTGTATTCTCTGGTTGCTCGGCTACAAGATCGTATATCTGATTTGAGTTGCCATGTGTGCTACTGTTTGTCCTGTGTGGTGGTCAAAATGAATATGGAGTTCTGTGCCAATCAATTAGGTGTAAAATGTTCGACTTTAAATTTGATAAAATGCCATCTTTTAATCCTGCACAAGACTGATTTGACACGGGATATGAAACCCACTATTGAAGTATAATTGCTCTTGCAGAACGGGAATCAATGAGTCGCACTTCATTGCCACCGTATATGGTTGTATTGTAGAAACCAGAAAACTCAAATCTGTCTCAGATTTAAAATTGCATTCCTGTTTTGCATTATGTGAAGAACATGAACTGATTGTTTTCTATGAAAAAGATAAATCAGTTAGCCTGGCCACAAATTGTGTAATTCTGGATTACTGGTGCTTGCGGTACAGTAAACACACAATATAATTTCCTTTGTTGTAATCACCAAGACCATGTGTGCTTATTGTATTGTATTTTATAGGGCTTCAAAATTCAATTTTGTGATACTCTTAAATAATATTTCTCAGTAACTGTACAGCGTCCTCTGACAGGCTTTGAGTCGTCTTTAAATTACGAGAAAAATAAAAAAATCTGTGAAAATTCTTTAAATTTCTCCGTAGTTATTACCAGTAATTCATTTTAGAAAGGCTCAGTTTCTCTGCGTAAAGTGTCCCTGCGCCCACCCTGCCCTGGCCTGAATTAAGGGTCAAAATGTCTTGAGGGGGGGGTGCAAGAGAGTTTGGGAAAAGTCTTGGAAATCAATTTGCCTCTTGGTGCTACAGAACACAAAGTTTAAATGATGTTTACGCGAGTCAGTGAGAGGTTTTCTACATATATTAAGTGGCAATAACTATTCATCGAAGTTATTATACATTATTCACATACACTGTATATTATTGTTGGGACTTGCTTGCTGCATGATAGACAACTTACTATAATTGTACTATGTTTTATGCATGACAACTACTAAATATCAAACATCCTGTAATTTTTTTGTGGGTATTTCTGTTCAATTAAAACATACATTTTTTTTTTCTTATTTGGAGTGAACTGCAACACCATCATTGACTCGTTCAAGATTATTGATGTTACATTCAAATACTTTACTTGAAATTAAAGTTATAGCATAAAGTATAGTTACACGGTCACTGCCATATTGCTCCGAACACCAAAACAGCAACATTCCCAGCTAAGTTGCTGTCTGTTTTGCTATGCATGCTGGGAGATCGTTGCGCTATTACAACAGCAGACGAATATAAGGGGGCCGGGACATGTGAATATATAAATAGAATATTGTGATGCAATTGCCTTTCAATTTATTTCAGTTCAAATCGTATAAATTTGTATATAATAAATGACAAAGTTATCCAAATAAATTGTATGTACTGACATAGTATGAAATGACAGAACAGTCGCTGTGTGTTTGTTATAACCCTTGTGAATGAGCACATTTAGTCGAATGGCACACCCTCGTAAAAGCAGTTTGAACTGACCATATCTCGAGACGCGCTTAGCAAATCAGTCAGCAACTTTGCTGGCAATGTTGAAATTTTGGTGTTAGGAAGAATGTCTGCGACAGTAACAATAGTTCTTGTGATAACCTCGCATTTTTCATTGGGTGGGCGATAGTTAATTTGACCCCCCCAGTTGTGCCAGGATGCGTGACCTTTAGGGGGTGTGAATAAGGCTAATGCAACACAAACAGAAGCAACAACAAGTAGTTCTGATGTTTCACTTTCACTGAATTCCAATCATGTCATTTCCAATCAGGGTGTGGTGCCTTCAGCCTTCACTTGATTGTACCAATTCAATCAGTTATACCGTTACAAAACAAAGAGATGCATAATTCAGTAAAATGTGCATCATTACAAAAATAAAACTGAACATTTTGTAATCCTTTGTCTTGTTGTTGTTTCTTTTATTAACACAGAGGCACCTGCATCCCCTCCACATGATGAACCACCCTTCATGAAAAATGGAATGCCAGCAGGTATGCTCATTCTCATCTCATCACTAATCTTTCTCCTTGGCTTGTATCAATTCCTGCATGATTATTGTAACAGTCTGCAATTAGCTAGTGCACGAATGGCTGGATAGAACTGCATTTTAACCAGATTTCCAGATAATTTGTTAAACACTTCTGGTTTAAATCTGCCTGTCACCTTCCTAAAAAAACAAAGCTTTTTGCATTGCTATTTATTTTTAGTCGGTTGAAACGCAGAAATAGGGGACAGTACATCTGTCTGTACGTCTGTCTGTACGTCTGTCTGTACGTCTGTCTGTCTGTAATTTCTGACATGCTTGGAACGATTTGGGTTGAGGTTTGATGACCTGTGACAAACTGGCTAAAATTTTTGTCCCAAATACAAAAAAAAAAACTAAAAATAATTTCTCTGTATTACCTCAGTCTATTCAAATAAAAGGACTGACATCGTTCCCGGTAGATGATAGATGTACATCATTATGTTTTGTATCTTGTTGAATGCTGTCGACTGGCAGCCATTTTGCATTCTCAGAAACTTTCACTGATTTTGTTTGGTACAAAAGCAAGGCATAGTAGTGTAAATGATTCTGAGCAGTTTTTAACGACTGACAGCCATTTTTCCCATAAAAACTCTTGTCACAAAATATTTAATTCAAACTCTGTATGAATATACATTTGTCTTGTGATTTGATGGCAACCTGGTCCAAACCAAGAAAATGCATAAAAAATGTGGTTTTTCATGTCAGATATTTAAGGACCAAGAAAATGCATTGAAGATTTAAAAGAAAAAATTTTTGTTTGGCTTTCAACCATTTAATAATACAGGCTAGCCGTATAATTTCGCACTGGTCATGCAGCAGGTGTTAGTCCCACAATGCACTATTACCCATAATGCAACCCAACCCAACCATAAGGAAAATTCATTTATTAAATTTTTTTCTTTGTGTGCAGAAAATGAAAATGAAAAAGAAGACAAAGGAACGGAGAAAGAAGAGCCAGAAGCCGAAACTAAAATTGATGATCCCCCAACTGATAATAAAGATGATGATACGAAGGTAAGAGAAGAGACAACTGAAGCTGAAAGTAAAGAATAATCAAACCACTAACATTATATTGGGGACCAAAGAATTAAGAATGAGAGTAGCTATTATCATGCTACATATTGACAAAGGTACATTGTTATGTAAATTCCTTATTGGCATTATAATGCCATATTTGGAAGTGTGTTTGCAATATTTGGCTGTGGCGGCCATTTTGTTTCCTTATTTGGATAATTATACAAGTTTGTTCTTTGGTGTCCTGTATGGACATTTGGTTAATGAATTGCATATTTGGAACTGATTTGCCATATTTGGTAGCAAAGTTTCAATGTAAATGACTTGATAGAAATTCACAAGTGTAACATTTAATGTATTTGTAAGCATTGCTTATTTAACTGTTACAAAGTTTATGTAGTTTACCATTGATACTAAACACTGCTGTAAGTTGGCACAATTCACTAGATTTACCGCAACTGTTTTCGTCAATGTTAAACACTGCTGTAAGTCGGCACCATTCATTAGATTTACCGTAACTGTTTTCAGTCAATGTTAAACACTGCTGTAAGTCGGCACCATTCATTAGATTTACCCGTAACTGTTAGCTATTGATGCTAAATGCTTCTGTAAATTGCCTTTCAGTAGTTTTATCTTAACTGAATATTTTCTGTTTGATAATTAAAAAAAAAAAATTATATGCAAGTTTTACAAAACAATCAGAGCATTTTCCACCAAAGTTGTATGGAATATGAAGTTATTTTGGTTTTATTCATTGAAGGTGTTGCTCATGATTGCTTTTAGTAAAATTAATTCAACGCAACATTTTCACTTCACTCTGGAAATTCCAATGGTCATCAAATATGCATGAGTCGCTTACAAGCACTTTAAATTATGCATGGTAGGAAAAGGGCATGGATTTGTGTTTGTGCCTCAATCGTCAGTTGTTGGGTTTGGTTCTCGTTCCTGATGGTTCTGTGTAAGGTTAGACACGACAAATTGAAATTCTGCAATATCCCGCAATATTTGTGAAATATCAGGTTATTTAGTTGAGTACTGCAATGGTATTACACTATTTATTTTAATCCAAGATGTCTGTCAATTTTATACAATTTGAATTGACATATTTGCAAAACCAACTCGGCTTATTGGTCACAAATTAAATACTTAAATACCGTTAGGTTCTCAGGTTATTCTGCAGACCACTTCACCATGTAACGACCAACACATTAAATTTGATGACCTGATATTCTGACATGCATCTTAGTTTAAAATAAGTTGGTTTTAGTCAGTGCTCCACTCGAAGCTAATTTAGCACTGAGAAAGTTGATTCCTCCTTCTGGAAACTGGCGTATTTGAATACATAGTTCAGTAATTGCAAACGTGTTGCCAGACTAAGTCTTGGAGGGAGCACTGTTTTTAGACATGGGACACACAGGGGCTTATTTTAATGCTGTCTCTCTCACACACACACACCTTGCACCAAGACAGTGAATTCATCCCACTTTATGTAATAACAGGGACCTAGGAAGAATGAAGTAGTCTATGCTCAACTTGATATGGCAAAACCAAAAGATGACAAACCTGTTAAAGAACCCTCAACAGAATATGCTGATATTGATTTTGCACGCTCAGGTCAACCAACGGCGCTGTAAGGTTTATTTTATTTTATAATTTTTTGTTAATATTTTAGGAGTCTCAACTATGTTTCTGTTGAATTTGACACTCGCTCACAAAAAAAAGTCACCGTCCAATATGGTTGCATTTTTTGTTGCAATTCTGAATGTAGTTAGATTTTGTAGTTGTGGATTCAACATTGAGAATGCAGACAAAATTGAATCCTGTACTGCAAATGTCATATTATAAACCATATCATCACATCTTGAGATTTCTTGCATAGAATATTTCATTCTCATTTGGCTGTATTTCTAATAAACGGCTATCATGTCCTGCCTGTTTTTTTTTAAGACTATCCCTTTATTCAAATGGGGTGGTTGTACAATTGTGGCCCAAATACTGAAATATTCATTGTTTTTTTGTATATATTGATAGTCTGAATTTTTGATCCCTCGAATTATATAGCTGTCACACCCATTGTTCAAAAAGAACGTCTCATTATAAAGTTTTAACATTGTGAAGCTGTTGAATTGTGGGTCATTCCATTTGATATTAGGTACAATAGTGTTAGATCTTGGTCAAGAATATATCCGGATCGTTTGTTTAATAGTGTACTTACCTTGGATTGTTTTAACAAACCAAAAATCATAACTTTGAAGGAATTTATATTTGTGCTCTGATTGGTTAGATTTATTGCATTTTAGAAACATTGATTTGGTAGAAACGATAAATTACTGTAATTGAACTCATTTCAACATTGCCCTCTATGGTGGTTTGAAATCGTAATGAAATACAATGTAGTGAGAAATCCTCAGAATCAAAATTATAACTAGAATATTTGTGGAAAAAAATACCAATTTATTTGAAATTGCAGTTCAGGTTTTTTGATAGAAAGAGGGTTTGGCAGACGACACACGGCATTATGAAATTATGAATCCTTTCATGTTTTTTTCTCTTAAACTCTGGCTTTAAATTTGTAATTCCTATGCACTCTACCCTCACCCTAGAGATAAAATGGTATGTCTTGCTTGTTAGAGATTACCCTTCTTGACCTACAGGTATGAATATACCATTCTAGATCTACAGGTGGGAGTCTTTCAGGTTAATAAGTTTGTTCTCAGGAAAATTGAGTTTTACATCTGCTGGGTGGTTTGTACAAACCTAGGCACTTTGGTTAGGAGAATTGTAGTTTGTAATTGGTTTCCTGACCTGCTCATAGCTTCACATTCTCAACACTGGGGGTCACTGCTTTCAAATGTAATCAAGAGTGTCCATTAGAATCTTGAAAACATTAATTTTAGCGAGACTTTCCTAGTAAACTGTCAGGTTGTGATATTTGATAATGTGAGAAGACGCTCGCATGCTGAAATAATTGATGCTATGAAGATAGGCATTGACACTTGAAGGTTGAATCAATGTATACTAGTCCCACAATTATGTAAGAATGGCCACAATTTCTGTATTCTCATTCAATAAATCTTTTCGCTATAATACTGTATCTCATCCAAGCCATTTAAAAAATGTGTTCAACCAAAGGTAGGGAGACTGTGTTGGCTGAATTTTATCGTCATAAATGATTCAGAGGCTTATCTTTTTATACCCTGTTGACATTTTGTATTTTTAGCATTTCTTGACCTTATACCACTTTTTTGGGTTTTTGAGGCTGATGGGTCGAAGCACATTTTATTGTATTTTTGTATATTTTGCATTTTCGCTCTTTTCTTGTATTATAGCTAATTGAATGCAACTGATTTTTTAACTCATTGTCATGGTAACATTTCACTGCCACTTGCTCATTCTTTTAATTCCTAGTAAAGCTGTGTTTTTGTTTTTCTTGTTGCCATGGTGATTTGGACTTGTTCAAAGTCTCTCCATGTAAACTTAAGCTTCAACATTCAATGATGGGCAACTGGGTTTTAAAATGAGTTACATTTCTTTTTCAGTAAAAAAAAAAAATTGTCTTTGTGATTTTTTTTACTTCTATTTTATGAGATGGCGCAACATTCTATCTATTTTTGTAGTATTATCACAAATTTACTCTTTTTGTCATTTAAAAATTAGTTTGCATTTAAACAAGAGTATGTACAGTGTTGCCTGTGAGGGCGCACTTTGTAATATAGATTAGATTCAATATAGCTGTGACATTGTCAAAATGAATTTTCAGCAGTTACTATGTCAACTGGTTATTGATGTTCTCTAATTGTGAAGAGCGCCATCTATTGTCCAGTCAGTGTTGTAATATTCAGTAACTCCTTGAGGGTGAATGGGGTTGAGGAGTTAAATATTGTATTGATATTCTTAGATGTGATTTTTAGTATGTAATTGTATGTAGATGTGACAATTTTGAATTCTTGAATAAAATACTGTTTTAGTGTACAATGAGTTTCCTTGTTGATGTATGTGATTTTCTGAGGGTCACTCTAATACATACCATGTATTCAACCTTGAAAACAAAATTCGAACTGCCCCCACCCAACACATTGGTGACATGATCAGAATTTATGTTTGAAAATAGTTTCATAAGGGGGGGGGGGGTTACCTTTGAAAGATGATGCATTAGGGGATTTAAAGTGTTTTCAGTGAAGATTATATTTTAGATCATGAATCCCCCGTGTTTGGAATATTATTTCTTAAAGGTGCTGTATTCTAAATTACCCCATTTTAGTTTATTGGCAGTTTACAAAAGTAGAATTAGAACGCAAAATATGGTGAATTATTTAACAGTGACTTGACAAGTTGTGAAATAGCCTAGTCAATATATTGTAGCCTGGGATTCAGCCATTTTGAATACCTAGTCATTTTAGATTTTCTCAGTATTGTGATCATAAACGCTGCTATTCTAAATGCAAACAAGTCGATGAGATATCCAAACACTTCTATCTGCCTAAAATTGCAGATATCCAAATTAATTCATTAATCAGTTGTACCGAGTCTTACTGTATTGATAATGTAAAAATAAATGCTAACCACAAATTCTGACTTTGAATGCAGAATTTATATTGTATGCAAATGACGAGTCAAAAATATCTTAATTTACCAAAAATGACACATTTCTTAAAATTGGAGAAATTGTCACAGAATAAACAAATCTGAGAGGTCTACCTGAGGTACCTATATGTATAATAACAAAGTAATCAAACTTGCAGTTTTTAACAAGAAGTTGAAAATATTTTAATTTACCAAAAATATTCATCAAAACTAGAGAATTGAAAATATCAACACGAAATAAACAAATCTGACGGAGGACTACCGCAAGAATCTACCATACGGTATGTTGCAAATATGAAAGCATTTCGGTTTTGAAGAAAACGATGTAAAAAGTTGACGTTAGACTACATACAATCATTAATGTGAAGAGCTCAAGGGTACACAGCACCTCCAGGGAGGTCTTTTGGAGAATGGTTGGTTAGTTGCACAGAGTCTACTGTAGAGGGCTCTTGTAATTGAATATTCGGAACAGAAATGGCTCCTTCATTCTCATAGTAAACGTTTATAATGCAAATTACTGTACAACAAAGATTTCAAATATATCGTGTTATTTTGTTTATTCTTAATTATGTCATGAATTGGCATAGCAAGTATACATCAAATGCAGTCAGAATGAGTTAATAAAAAATATTGGGAGTTTTGACGGCAAAAAATGTCAATTCCTTCACAAACTCTGATAGAATGAAAGCAGATCTGCTTTAGGAAATCCTCACCCGACCCCTACCTTAACATTTCAGTCTCCCATTGTAATTATACTTGTCCTGAAGGACTTGTACAAATGAAATGGGGAGGACACTGGAGTGTTGTTGTGGGTGAGGGTTCCTAAAGTACACTTATCATGTCTTGTGTACAATGCCATTTTGTTTCTTGCACAGTAGTCTGAATCAGACAATGAAATTACTCAATGTATACTGTACGTGATCCTAGAGTTTTACACGCATTGGATCAGGAATAAACAATATTGGACATGTATTTTACTCTATACCAATCTCAGTTTTGTAAATGCAATCTGTTCTCTTTCAAAATGTGCAAGATGAAAACAATCTTAAACACATTAAGCAGACCAAACATGATTTGTAACATTCTTGAATATGTATATATAATAAAAATATTTCTGGGGACAACAGCTGGAGAGGTCTATTTGATTTGTGAAAAACTGAGGCAGCTAAAAAAATCAACCTCCAATTTTTGTTTTGGCTCACAATCAGTAATGTAATAAACTTATCTGCTTCGTACAAAATTGAAATCTTCCTTTCCTTGTCTGGCCATACATTTTTTTGCATCAAAATACACAATTCATTGCACACAACACACCCCAAAATACAATCTTGTATAATTCTATTCATTTATGTCAA